TAACATCAAGAAATGGTTAGATATTCTAGTCTTCTCGGATAGGGACGAATAAATGGAGGCCCCGTCTCCTGCAGGAGGCGTAGGAGGCGTTAATTTCTCACGCACGAGATTACTGTGTGATGGATGTCCATCCCCGGGGTGGGATGGGTGGGTTGGGTTTAGATGGATGAACCTTGTAGGGGACTACGCATTCTATTGTTCTTCCATCTGTACAATGTACAAAATCCTTAGAAAAAAAAATATTCAAGGCTGAGATTTTAAGGGTTGTTGTGTACTTCTGACCAAGTCATAGTGAACACTGTGTTAACTTCACCATCTGCAGTTGTGATAACTGGCTTATCTGGTAAACCTGAGAAAGTTAATTGATTTTAATCATCTATCCATAAATATTCTTTTCAGAAGTATTGAATTTATTAAAAAATATATATATTATTTTGTACTACACATTGACTACAACAGGAGATCAAACTTTATCATTTTGTTTTAAAAAACTGGGTTCTTGCTAAGAGCCAGTAACTGGTTGTTTTTATCGGCTGTTCAAGAAAATTTGACTGCTATTTCACCAGAACCTGTGACTAATTTTTTTTTTTTGTTTTTCAATTTTTTGGAAAATTTTTCTTGTCTCCTTCTAACTAATGTTGTGAAGATATCTATCACATTAATGGTTTGAAAATACATCATACAGTGTATGTTAAAGAAATTCTGCTTGTTTTGACCGAATTAATCCCTTGCAGCAAATTGTGTTTGATTAAGTTAAGAGTTAAAAAATATAAAAGACACTCAACTCACCTAAAATTTCCTCAACATTTGAGCTCTTCCACCAGATTGGAACAAATGGGTGATCTTCATTATCCTCAAAGTTAAGAATTCCAACTGCTTGGAGGTATTTGTCGCCTTCTTCCAGTAAAACAATTGAGCTGGGTGGACAGATAGAGTCATCTTTCCGGTCAACCTCTCCTGCTACATATTCATTCCTTTTTTTCTCCGATAAAAAGGAATTAAGATTCTTTATGCTTACAACCTATCCTGGGCTCAAGATCATTTTAGGACACTGGAACTTCCACGTTTGAAAAAGGTCACTCTTTAGCTCAGGAGCCTCTGAATCAATGAAAATCACAACCAATCCAGAAGAAACATGATGGATAATGTTCTTCACAATACTTGATAGTGGAAACGTTTTTGGTTTTGATTTTGGTTTTGGTTTTATGAACTCCACATCGTATACATGAACATCAAATTTCTCCTTTGGAATAATTTTGCTACTTGTTAGGATAAAATAATCGCTCCAACCACTGATTTTGACCTAGGGTTATAACACAAACAGCCCGTGCCTACTAGCGCACGACCAGCTTCATCCTTTTGTGTTTTCTTGCAGAGGGCTTTCGCCTCGCCCTTTCTCTTCTGGCCACAGATTCTGGTGATGGTACAAATAGCTTACTACGAACTTTCACTGTGGTGAGAGGAAGCTAGCATTCCATTGTTCTGAAAAAATATAGCATACCTTAACATACATGTAATATGACCAAATGCTCAATGGAAATAGGTTGCATCCACATACCATACAGGCATGATGAGTGACAGTAAATTTATTGATATCACCGGCTTTTGTAAGATCAAGGTGTCAAGTGACAAATGACACTTATGTATATAAGAACGATCCTTCGCAGTAAATAGAAAATAGGAAAGATTAGTAAATTAGAAAATAGGAAAATAAGAATGACAGTTGCCAAAAAATAGGAAATAAATCGGAATTCTCACCCCAAAAAAGGAAAAAATAGGAGGATTTCTTTGATTTCTATCTTCTTAACACTCCCAACAGCAACTCTATTACACAGCCCAACCTTTAATATTTAACAGGGACCATCGCATACATCCACAATTCATTGCCGTATAAACAAAAACAAGCGTTACCACCACCTATGTTACCAAGCACAACTCATCCTACAACATTTACCAGATTCCAAATTTCATTCGATACATCACAAGATGCCTTTCACTTAAGTTATTAGTTCTTTAAAACAGTGAGAATGATAAGCAAAAATAATTCTTTTGAAAAACCAAAGCAATATCAAAGTTCACTGTCACCAAATGTATACCTTTCTTACAATAAAAGCCAACCCCGCCTTTTGAACATCAATAACCAAAATGTCCAACACTATACTGTTTTCGCTCTTTTGGCAGATTGGGAAACCTTAGCATTCCTCTTTTTCTTTTTGGCAGCATTTGCTGTTGAGGACATGGCCTTTCCTAACAGTTTGTGCTTTTTGTCAGTCAATAGTTTTCTCTTTTGTCCTATTTTCTCCAAGCTTTGCATTGCTTAGTCTCGCTTGGTATTAACAGTGTCAAGCACCATTGTGGCTACATTAACAGTTTGTATGTTGACAGCTGTTGCTGGAAGGGCATCATGTAGTTTTGATATTGCATCACTCATTTTGAAGAGAACTTCATGTGTTGCTCTGCAGAAAGTCTGTAAGGCGCTGAGTACAACTCTACATAATTTCGCCATTGACCTAGTGTGCTAATGAAATGCTGAAGTACAGTCCACGTCGATTGCGTCATTCGTCGATAACTCTGCTTCTTTTTGGAAGGCCACTTGTAATTCGATGCATAACTCAGCTAACTCTAGCCTGTTCCTGGCGTTCATTTTGGGGAACGGCCGTAAAACAGAGTTCGATTGTAGAAGCGGAGCGAATAAAGCAGGGAAATTTTTGGTCCTTCTTTTCTCACTACGCTCCTTCTATCGCACTATTTACTGGCACGCTTCGTTTTAGTGAATGAAGGCCTAGAACGGCTTTGAGTTAACAGACAGGATTTTACAGTCGCTCCACCCAACATGTTGAACTACAGACTGTTGTTTGGATTGAGCACTAGGGTATCTTGCAACGTAAAATCGCTTTTGACTAAATTTCTCGAGCTTAGTGATCTCACAATTTATTTTTATTCAGTTCTGTAAGAATTAACTCCCGTGAAACTTCCTCTTTCGAACGACATGCAAGCCAGAATTAGCTACGGCAATACTCAACAATAACTAGCCGACATGTTGGAACTAAAGCGGTCAAACGAGGGGCATGCGCACGGCAAAAGGGGAATGGAGTCGTATCTATGAAAGGCAGTAAAGTAAACTTACTGGAGTTACAATTATAGGCTTAATTCAATCCATTTCTTTATCTGCCAACAACGGTGTCGATTCGAGCTGTCCAATCACGGAAAAACAGCGCGCGCAACAAAGCGCTAATTGCTCGCGCGCAAATAAGACGTATACTGTTTGTCGCGTCATTTTAACGAACTAAGCACATGGAAAGAAACCGTTGTGTTTTGTTTTCAAGGAAGGTCCGCGTCTAGCGCTACGTTAAAGATGTAGCGCTTATAGATATTTACTACGTTTCCTAGGGACAATGTCCTCAGCTAAAGACGGTCAAATTCAAGTTACTTTCAAGGGAGTTTCCCTCGCTAATGAGGATTTTAATTTTGTACCACAACCTCCCTTTGTTGTAAATCCTCGCACGACTTTTTATCGCTTCTGGGAAGCCGGTAGCGCCATTTGCATTTTCTTGACTTGTCTATTAGTGCCTTTCCAGGCGAGCTTCGATGCTCGAGATGTGAGTCTTTGGGTTTTCGTTTACATCTTTGATGTGCTGTTTCTCGCCGATGTGTTGCTTACATTTCGGGTTGGGTACTACAACAAAGGAGCTCTTGTCACAGACAAATCATCGGTTACCCGACGCTATCTTCGTACAAAGTTTATACCTGACTTTCTAACTTTAATTCCCTTGGATCTGCTCGTGTTTGGAGTTCAGAAAGATCTTGGATGGTATCAGTTGCTGACTTTGCTGAGGCTCAACCGGATTTTAAGGGTTTACAGGCTGGTTTCATTTTTTGGTAGGTTATGTTAATTTCGTATTTTCCAAAATGACAATTAATGGACTAAAATTTCGAATCTGACTGGTCCACAAACGAATAATTTCTCTCAAACGCTCTGGTGGCTAAAATATATAACATAAACAGTGTTTCAATTTCAGTTGCGTTTATGAACTGTCGCACGTTTCCTAAATCTTTCAAAGTGCGATTTCGGACAAACCGATGTTGTTGAACACAACGACGAGTTACTCCGGGTTACTAATAGAGAAAAATTATTTAATGGATACCCATAGTGTAGGTGGTGAAAAAAAAAAAAGGTTTTTGTTTCTGTGGCGAATACGTATACACCCCTTCGAAGACTTCTGCAGCTGGTCTATAAAGACGTTAGCCTAGAGCCTCTTTACATACAAAATGCTAAGTTTATCTCAAAAGTTGTGCATAACTTTCGATGACGAGATCTCCTGCATCGTATCTATTTATTTGTCAGTTTCATTTTTCCTCTCATTTATATTACATTTTTAGGGGCAAGAGAAAATGAGTTGGGAACAAACACAACACTGATCCGGGCATTGAAATATGCTGCTATTGGTACGATTACGATCCACGCAATGTCCTGCGTGTGGTATTCATTGGCTTGCGCCAATGAGGGAGCAACGGCTGAGAATCAGATAAAAAATGTTACGCCGTGTGACCCTGACAGCTGGGCAATAGCACTTAGCACAGGCAAGTCAACGATTGGTGTTTGTCGGCGATATCCTAAGCTAAAATATTTTTTGGATTTCTCCCTTAATATGGGTTAGCAACAGCTGTATGTAGACAAAGAGATCTTGAAAATAAATTTTTGAGGCACATAATAATAACAATGATAATAATTAAAAAAAGAAATCCTCCACTTTATTTAAAATCACCAAAAATATTTACAAAAGTTTGATAAAAGCCCTAACAATCGAAAAACACATTAAAATGTCCATCAGAAGCTAAGAAAAACACATCTCGTCGATGTTTACTTCTCGAGCTTTTCGAAAATAATAAAGATGATAATAATAATGATAATAAAAATGATGACAGTGACAATAGTGATAACAATGATAACAGTAATTTTAAGTCTCTTGACAAAGAAAATGGAAAGTCTTCAAAAGTTCAACGCAAACGAATAAGAAAAATTTACTATCAAAATAGTAAAAATAATCTATAAATGACGAGTTTAATTTACTATAATAATAATAACAAATTTATGTAGGATAATCAATTCAGTTATAAAAACTGCTATCAACATGGGTCCTGCAAAAGTAGACACATCGTAATAAAAGAAAGATGGAGACAAAATAACGGTGAAACTGTCAGAAAGTGTCTTTTTATTAATGGCGCTACGATTATGATCCAGCAAAAAGGATGTCAAGCTACGAAAAGGTACCAAGCTTTCAATCATGTCTTCAAACTCCTTTAACCCAACAGACGCATTGACAGAGAGAATGTCAAGAAACAAAATTGTTGACAACCATGTAATCGTTGAAATGCTGTTCGATATCTATTTCAGGAATTGAATCCGTTGACGTTTGGAAGAGATATGTCCTGTCTCTTTACTGGGCTACTGCAACTGCTACCTCTACAGGGTCAGTACAAGACATTAACAGGTTCCAAATATCTTAAGTTTTCAAGTCTCCTTCAGTAAATTTTTTTTTGGGAGTAAGGGGGAGAGGGAGACGGAGGGGGAGGGGGGTTAGACTTTGGTTGTACATGGCGTGACATCTCGAGTCCATTAACTCTAAATCAGTCTAAGCACCCAGAATCGCTTAGGTTTGCAACGTATTCTTTTGACTATATTCCTTTAAGGGTCCGAATTGCGCAGCAGCGAAAAAAGTTAAAGGTGTGTGGAAATATCGCCGCAAAATCCCTCAGAACGTTTTGAAAACTAAACTGTTTGTATGTTAAAATATCAAAGCAGTAACCAAAGGGCTCAGCGTTGCTTCAAAAGAATAGTTTTGCCAAGAATTCCCATAAAAGGATATTACTTTTAACTCAGAGACGTTTTTAGGCACTTTCATGTTTTCAAATTTTTCCGGTTCGTTTCGATTTGAAGATCCCGAATCCCCCATTCTGAACCAAGATTTTGACGATCCTAACGGTTCCCCAGGACTTTCTCTAAGCTGAGATGTGCGGCAGGCGATTGAAATGATTCCGACTAAACTACGATTAAAAAAACAAATCATTGAATTAAACAATAAGAATTAATGTTGCCATTATAGTTCAACCTGGATTGTGGTAACGTGAGTTCTGAACTGTGTTCTTTTTTTCCTTGAACATATATGACGTTTTTCCATTTCAGTTACGGAGATCTGCACGCCGAAACCATAGGCGAGAAATGGTTTTCCATAATCGCTATGCTTACTGGAATTGGATTATTCTTTGGGCTTATTTTCGGTGGAATGGCTTCCATGTTAACCAACCTGGATTCACGGCGAATGAGATATACACATCACTTCGATGTCATCAAAGATCATTTGGTACGCTACATCCTCCCTTGAGACAGATTTACCCCACAGATTTACCCCACACTATCAAGATACATAGAGCGCAATTTTAGCTATTCTATCCGGTTTATATAATAATTCATTTATCTGCGCCATTTACACAGCCCGGCCCACCTCAGCTTTAAAGCTGGTTTAAATGAGGGCCTGTAATAACAATAACAAGGCCAGACCACAACACCGAGAGCTACGTTCCCTTCTCTTTGCGAGAAGTGCGTGGGTTATTTAACGCCCCCTGCTAACCAGTGAGGAGAGAAGATGGAAGAGACGGTGATTAGCGCTTAGTGCACTAAGAAATTCAACTTATAATACAAGTAAATAACCTTTTGTGTTGCTGTTCCGTTTTGGCGCCAAAATGCAGTCGCAAAGAATCTGGGGACGCATTAGCTTTTTTTATGTTTAAATAGACGCAACGAATTTAAATGCTTGTCTAACAATCAACCGAACACATCCGCTAAAAGAACATGTAAAGAGCCGTGTAAAGATGTATGGATTACCCAACAGAATACTAACATTTCGCTGCGAATACTTCAGCCCTTCGAATGTAATTTCATATTTGAAACGCAATTCATTTATTTGCTTTGCAGTTTGACTGTTGCCGATGTTACCGTTGGCAACCAGTGCAGAAATAAAACGGTTGTCTGTGCATCTGTAACCTTCGAATTCAAGTAACGCTTCGCTACGTAAGCGTGAATCAGACGGGGCTTACGGTTTATCGTCCTTATCCGAGAAAACTAGATTGTCTAGCCATTTGCGGAAGTCATAGCAAAGGCAGAACATTCTTCTTGAGGCTTTGCCAATAAAAAACAAATAAAAGATAGAAGATTCGACGCTGAGATGCAAGTAGACGTTATAAACAAGTGATCATTGCAAACGCATAACGTATTTATCTGTCTGTATTTTTTTTTCAGGTGGACATGAAGATCTCGGCTGACATAAGGTCTAGAGTTCTGGCTTATTACGAGTATCTGGTAAATTAACTTTTGTTTAGTGAAATGATTAATTAAGGCTGTTTCTGTCTTGATACAACAAGTTCAGTCAATCCTTATGAAATCGTATTTATTTCTGTAACTAATTTCAGTGGACTCACAATAGAGGCGAAAGAGGAGACGGAATGTTTAGTGACCTACCGCTGACCTTTCAAGCTGAATTGTCTCTTAGTATAAACAAAAAGGTTTTGGAGAAGGTAAGTCATAAATTTTAGATTCATCGAGTGCTTGAATTAGAAAATAATTGTTTTCTTTACAATATTCCATAAAATTTTGCACTTGAAATAAAATCTATGGTTCTCTTTTTGCATTGCAGGCTCCACTGTTTAGAGGTCTCAACCCTGGATTTCGTCGCATGCTCTCTCTTGTGATACGGCCAGTGTTTTACATGCCAAACCAAATCATAGCCAACAAAGGAGATATTGGACATCACATGTTTTACATACACCGAGGCCGGGCAGAAGTATGCTCATTTAATTAAAAATATCGTCAAAAACTTACTTAAGTTATATCAGCAATTCTCCGTAGCTATAAATGATTTATAATAATTAAAATCATGCGGCAAAACAATATTTCCTTCAAATTGTTCTCTAAAACTTTTCCTTTTTCCTCAAGGACAACTTTCTCGACATTAGAAGACAGTTTAGAGCCTAGCTATCCTACTATCATTTTTAACTAGATCGTATTACTCCATGTCTTCGATTATATTTCAGATTTCAAAAAACTGAGAACGTTTCCTGCTGATTAATTATTCAACAAATGGTTTACATCATTAATGAGGGAGTCACTTGACAATCAAGCAATTGGATGGTTATCCCTTGTATGTTTTCTCTTCTAATTATAGATTCTGTGTGAAAACGGAAATGAAGTTTTCGTGACTCTTAAGGAAGGAAAACTTTTTGGTGAAGTACGTTTAGAGGCTTATGTTTTTTTAATCAAGCTGCTCCGGCCACTGGATATTGATTAAGTTCTTGTTTGTTTATAATGACAACGACTTAAGTGTATGTTTGATTATCTTGTTTTATTTTTGGGTTTTGGTTGTTGTTTTTTTGTTTTGTTTCATTTTGTTTTGTTTATGTTTGTATATGTTTGCGTTTGCTTTACCTATTGGGAAAACATCCTCTCCTTTCTTTTTTTGACTCTATATACTTTCAATTGTCTTTTTTACTCCTGATTTGGAGCAGCGTCTAAACGTCGTTATAACATTTACGTTGACTCATGTTTCTTCCTACAGGTGAGTATGGTGTACAATCTCCCAAGATCTGCCTCAGTTCGCGCCGCTACGCCCTGTATAGTTTTCCTCCTTGACAGAGTTGATCTTAACAGAGTGCTTAGACATTACCCCACCGGTACGTTTTTGCCAAAACCCATCCTAAAACTTTCTGTGGTTGAATTCACTTGATCTCATATTTGTGAAGTTACTAAACGTCACGTTTGTGCCAGAGGCGTAACAGAGTAGTGCTTCACTTACATTTGAAATATGGGGTTCTATTGCTCTGACCAAGACAGAAAACTGTTTTTTGAGTAGGTCACTAAACTCTCACTGCGCCTCTTCCCAGTTTGAAACATACAATGAAACTATAGTGGATTGTCAAGAAAGCCTTGCAAATTCTATCGATCAGAAAATGTGGTGATGAACAAGCATCCATAGTTTCTGGTCACGTAGTTCTTAGTCGCTTTGATACTGTTCACCTTATGAAACTCTTCCCTTCTCGGCTCTTAAGGTAGACTTATATAATAAAGTTATTGCTCGATCTGATTGAGACGAAGGGTTTGATAAAGCGGCTAGCTAATCCTTCAAGTTCTGCAGGGGTTGTGAGGGAGGGGGAAGGGACGGATGGGGGTTGGCCTGTGTTGGGCTAGGATCCAAGGAGATTACGAAGTAACGATTACCCTATTCACCTCGTGTCCCAGCTCAAATTTTATGAAATATTCTGCGGTGGTATGAGTCACTCTATATACGTGGGGTTTTCATCACTAATCTTGGTTTTATTCTTTTAGTGGCGGAACAGCTGTATATAGCCCTCGAACATAGATGTGATCTGAAAAATATTGGATCGTTAGTCACGGAAGCCGGAAGCAAAAAAGAAGATTTTTTGGAAATGGAAAATGAAAAAGCTAAAGCATGGCTACGACAAAGTGTGGTGAGTACGTTCGGCAAGAGTAGCAGATGTATCCACACACTTGTCTGCCACCAATTACATAATTGTATCTACTTACAAAGCGTCACACAAAAGGAAAAGACGTAGAGTAACACCAGAGGACTTGAGTGGATTTTCGTAGCTTTGCAGGTCTCAGGATGATATTGAAAAAATTAAAACCTTGTTCAAGCATTACACGAGATGTATGAGTTATCATCATGCCCTTAAATAACAAAAAACACCAAAAAAGTCCAAAAATAAATTGAAAAGTGGATAACCTGTGAAAGAAGGGTTTTACAAGGGGTTTAGTTTCTCACTTTAGAGCAATTTTCCATTGAGTCTCGAGAACAATTCAGAATTGCCCTGGTTCTGCTGTACTTCGCTATGCAGTTGGTTCACAAAAACGCCAGCCAAAACTGATTTGAAACTTTTCTTGGTCACTCGATTTTCACGCGCTTGAAACAGTTTGTCTCTTTGATCTGAAGTTTTTATGTGCTGCTCGGGATGTTTCTTTTCCATTTGACTGGCTGTTGTGTTTGCTTTAGTGTAGACACTCGATCTCTCTAAACCTCTGTCGATTTCTCCCAATCATGAATGCATTCCATTTGATTCGCAGGGATTTCAAGAGGATACGTCGAACAAAGACAGGTACGATGCCAAATATTTGCAATAGATAGACCGTGAGCCATTTTAATGCTGCTTAGTGAAGGCTGGTTTTCACTGGCAACGGGGTAGTAAGAGTGCTTCCTACCTATTAAAGGCGAAAAATCGGATAGGTAAGCGAAGTCATAAGCTCCACGGAAACGGAGTTGGAATAATCAGAACGGCTTCATTTTCTCTTAAATTTTGCTTGTAACTCCGAAGCGTATGATTCATGCGTATGCAGATGCACAAGCGGAAGAACCAACGAATCACAATGCCAGTTCTCAGGCCCTTCAAGTAAAGTCATCTATAGGTTAACTGATTGACCACTCCCCATAGGGCTTTTTAGGGCCATTCTTACAACACTGTTTACCAGACTGCTTGTAGCAGTTTATAATGAATAAAGGCAAATCTAACAGATGCCTCCAGTAAACAGGCCAAAGCGCATCACAGTAATCTCGTGAGTGGGTTCTTTAACGTCCCCTGCCTAACAAAATGAACTAATTAATAGATGCAGGAGACGGAACTTACGGTTTATTCGTCCTTATCCAAGAAGACTAGAATGTCTATCCATTTCTTGATGTTATAGAAAGGGAGCACATTCTCCTCAGTTATTTTAAGACCTAAAATGTTGGTCTAGCCGGGGCTATTAATTGAGCTAACGGAAGGCTGACGACTCCGACAATTTAACACCGACTCTATCGTAAGTGGAAATCAGCCTTACCGTAAAGGGTAGAGACAAGCTGGATCATAAGTTGCACTCTAGTCAAGGGTCTCATCTTTTACAACTTATCCCAGTTGCCTTTGCACGAAGTGAACAACAGTATTGTTCCCCCTCCCCCCCTTTCCTTACTGGATCACTGGATCGGATGCTGGTTATCCTCAGCATTTCGATTGGCTTCTTTGAAAGTTTTATTCGCCGCCGCCTTCAATTAAATTCCGATATTGAGAAGAGGCACTTTTTGATTAAAATGTCGTGCCAAAGGAAAAGGAAGGGGGAAGGAGGGGGAGAAGAGGATCCTTAAATTTCTCTTCATGCTGAATTAGGCGGCCGACTTTGCTAATTTACTTAGTCTTAATTGACTTGAGTGTGATTTCCTTTACTCGGAGTAAAAATCAACTGCGTTAAAGTCCTCTGCTGATAACCAGTACTTGTGCTTTTAGCCTTTTAACGAGGTTTTCTCGCTACGTCATCATGCCCGATTCCTGGTTCGCGGTGATCTGGGAGCGAGTTCTTCTGTCTGTGCTCCTGTTCATCTGTTTCATGTACACCTTCGTTGCCTCGTTTTCAATCAGTTTGCACGCTCTTGGTTTCGGAGAAAGTGTAGGAAGTAAAGTGCTGATGGCTTTTACGTACCTACTGGACGCTGTTTTGGTAACTGATTTTATAATGAGATTCAACTTGGCGTCTGGGACCACAACAGGTAACTAGAGGGTCTTGAATAAAATTTTCTTCAGAAATCCCAGATTTCTTTCGACGTTCATTTGACTAAAAATTAATCTTAAGTCTAATTGGCAAACATGAAATCAAAACTGGGGTCGTAAAATTAGTCTCTGCAACATGTTTCATTTCATCATGCAGCATGAAGCATTTTTTTTGCGACATATAATTTCAGCGAAATCGGTCATTGTAAAGATTTCTCCTACAAATCCCTGCTACTTGTACCCACTACATGAAATCGTCGCATGTTTCTGACTTTTAATAATGAGAGAAATTTATGCCAGGCAGGTTCTATGCACATATTCTTACATTTTTCTTCTATTGAAATAATACATGAAGAAAGGCTAGTAAATTACATTTCAAAAGTTTATTCCATATTAATATTTATAATCAGGACTAACTAACCAGCCTGAGAGAAGAAAATAACTTATAAAGTGCCTTTCTAAAAAGGAACTTTTCAAGTCTTTCTTTAATATTTTCAGAGTGGGTATAGATCAAACTGAACTCTTGAGTACATGCCAAAGTCTAAGGGTAGCAGTAGTAAATGATTTGAACTCATTTGAATAAGCTTTTAATTCTTTTTATGATTAGAAATTAAGGATATTCGAAAGTGTTACAGAAAGAGTCTGTTGTTTTGGATCGATTTACTCGCTATCCTTCCTATTGAGATCATGGCCCTTCTACAAGAACGTCATCACGAGAAATGGCATCTCTTGGCAATCCTGCGCCTAAATCGGCTCATTAAAGCTGTTAGGGTAAGAGTAATGTATCACCTTAAAGAGAAATCTTATTCCTCATTAAATTCAAAATCATTTGAAAATAGAATTTGCAGAATTCTGAAACATTTCAAAACATTGCTATCTGGCATGTGTTGCTTGACAGCGAAGTACGTGTAATCAGCTTCGGAAATCTTTTTCATTCGGAAACAACTTCTTCAAACAAACCAATGGTGTAGCCATGGGCACCAAAATGGGACCTAGCTATGCCAATCTTTTTGTAGGTTTTGTCGCACATCAATTTTTCAGCCAATACAACGGTTCCAAACCTGAACTCTACCGTCGCTACATCGACGACTGTATCGGCGCTACCTCCTCTACCAGAGAGGAGCTCACTCAATTCATAACCGCAGTCAATTCTTTTCACCCGGCTCTGAAATATACCTGGGAAATTTCTGACAATTCTTTATCCTTTTTAGACATCAAAGTTTCAATTGAAGGTAACGGTTTATGCACTAGTGTGTATTACAAACCTACAGACTCGCATAATTACTTGTTATATTCGTCTTCGCATCCATCTCACGTTAAGAATTCCATTCCTTTTTCTCAGTTTCTAAGACTTCGTCGTTTATGTAGTGATGACTCTGATTTCCACCACAAATCAGAGTCAATGTGCCAGTTTTTCGATAAACGTGGTTACCCTGTTTCTGTCGTTCAAGCGGGTTACCACCGCGCCCAACTTATTGATCGACATTCAGCACTACAAACGTCGCATAAGGAAGATTCCGACCGCATTCCATTCACTCTCACGTTTCACCCTCACAACCACTCAGTTAAATCCATCATTCTTAAAAACTTTAAATTACTTCAAAACGATCCAGAGACAAGCACTATCTTTTCGCAGCCTCCGCTCATTTCATTCAAACGCGACAAAAACATAGGCAATTTTTTGGTCAGAAGTTCTTTTCAGACTAATGACCAACCAGGCACTTTTAAATGCGCTCGTGCACGATGCAAAACGTGTCCTTTCATTCACAACACTGATAAAATATCGGGACCTAAACGATCCATTAAGATCACCGATCACTTCACGTGCACCTCCGCCAATGTAATCTATTGCATAACTTGCACTTATTGCAAAAAGATATACATCGGCGAAACAGGCAGAAGACTAGGTGACCGATTCCGAGAACACCTTCGAGACGTGGAAAGGAATGACAAGGACACATCGAAACCAGTCGCTAGACATTTTAATTTACCTAATCATTCTAAGCAACATATGGCAATCTGCGGTCTTTCCTT